CCCCAGCGGCTGCCCGAGCCCGCTCGTCTTGGCGGGGCAGCCGCTGTGGAAGGTGGTCGGTGCCCGTGGTGACTTCTCCAAACAGTCGGGGTCTCAAGGGACGAGACCGACGGTTTTGCTCTAGCTCCTGTCCCACAGGCGCCGGTCGCTCTGCCTAGGGTGCGGGCCTTGCTGTTGCCATGGAGTGACTAACTGCAAGTTTTGTCCCCAGAGCACAGATGTGTCGAGTCGGCAAAAATCCGAGCCAAATACCCTGACCGTGTCCCGGTGAGTAACCATGCCTGCCTCGCCCTGGACTTGGACACAAGAGTGGATTTGCTCTAGCTCCTGTCCCACAGGCGCCGGTCGCTCTGCCTAGGGTGCGGGCCTTGCTGTTGCCATGGAGTGACTAACTGCAAGTTTTGTCCCCAGAGCACAGATGTGTCGAGTCGGCAAAAATCCGAGCCAAATACCCTGACCGTGTCCCGGTGAGTAACCATGCCTGCCTCGCCCTGGACTTGGACACAAGAGTGGATCCACTGTTTCCATCCTGTTCCCTCTTCTTTCACCAGATTCTAAGGAGTAGATTTATACTCTCTCCTGGGTCCTGTATGTTTAGAGAGTCCCCCAAAATGTTGAAGTAACTCAGCACTCCACCTGCCCCAGTGGTACTGGCATATAAACAAGAGTGTCCTATCAGTGTCCTGTTCAGTATCCTTATCAGTGTCCTGTTTTCTTTTAACAGCAACTGTGTCCCAACAGGGGTCCTGTGCCTTGAGCTTTTTGATTACTCCCTTCTGCATCTGAGCCCGAGCAAGACCATAAACTCTTTGTGGCTTTACAACACTCTGTTGTGGCTATATGAGGGAGATAATTTTCTTTCATGCCTTTAAACAAATTTATCTCGTTGAACTCATGCAAGCCTCCCTTGCATGAGTGGTGACCCTTTTTTTTTCTGCACGGCATATCTACTTACCTTCCAATTAGTGAATAACCTCTCTTGCTTACCTCAAATCTGTTCTATCGCGTTTCAGTGAAATAACCACATCTTACAATCTTCTACAACAAATAGTAAAATATTCAACTTTTCAACTGCTTGTGAGAAAAATTTCCCACATCCCATCTGGCCATATGCTAGTTAGTTCCACTCCTGTCTGATTTCTTGGTAAATAACTAATCTAATAGACAGAACAGTCCAGAACAAGAACCATTAACCTTATTTTGTCATTTACCTTTCTCTGTTGAGTTCCACCTAAATCTGTGGCAGCGGGAGCATCTTCTCCAGTTGTAGTCTGGCCAGCTGATCCCATCCTTCCCTTTCTCTGCTTGAATAACTACCTACTCATATACAGTAGTATGCTAATAACCATATATCTTCACAGGCATCCATTAGTCCAGAATATGTTTTCATAACTGTAAAGGATAGAGAGAGCCATTGGAATGATAACATGGTAAAATATCAGGAACGGACAAACAATGAATGGCTAGAAGAAATTCTTAATTGAGTGTGACCCTCTGCAAAAGATAGGTGGCTCAAATTAAAATATCAGAGAAAATATGTATCTCTCCAGACAAAGTAGTTGCTATCAAATATATTTTGACATTGAATAATCCAAAGTGTTTTCAGACTTAATACTTGCTCTATGCTTTCCAGATTTTAGTCTCCCTCCAGGCTGACACGGGTCAAAGGGACTTCAGATCTCAACAGTTCTCAGCTGTTTCTGGCTACCTGGATTTTGAGATATTTCTCTGACTCAAACATTTGAAATGGATTGAGTTAGTCTATGAACAGCCTGCTTTTGTTCTGGCCTGGCCCCTTTAGATGAATAAAATGGGAGTTGGAAGAAATTCATTCCCCTTAAGCTCTGCTATTTTAAATTTGCCTGGGGATCAAGTAGCTGAAGGGCTAAAGGTATGGGTAAGTTTTACTAGAAGCACTTCACTAGCAGCTATGAGACTTACAGTTTTGAAAGTTTCTGCATCATAAAGCTAAAATGCCTGGTGGATATTTTATTACTGTTCTTAATCATATGTTAAGGCTTCAATCCTCCTTTCAGGCTGCTCTTGGCATTCTTTACTAAATTCCCCCGTATTAATTTACAAAGGCCATCTTTTATTTTCTCTTTCTCTGTAAGCAGAGCTGCTGGAAGCTGAAGAAAAGATAGGGAGAACCCTCTCTAGATCGTAAGAGTGTATATTTTGTAAATTTACTTGGGTATTACCTATATGCTGCAGTAATGAGGAAGGTGGAGTTAAGCAATGACACCACTGGAACCTCTTCTTAGCTCCGCTTCCCCAGGCGTGGTGCATTTTTTTTTTTCTTCAAGGCCTAGTCTGTGTGGAGTCATGACTTTCTACAAACAATATTTAATTCTCCTTCCTCCTGTATGTCCTGCCTTTTTTTTTTTTTTTTTCTTTTTTTAAATGGTTTTCTTTGTGGCCATCTGGTCATGTTTCCTTAATTTTGTAAAGTATAAAGTAATTCTATGTCAGTATAAAATACTATAATGTCCGTGAAGAACAACACAAAGCAGAGAATACCATCCAGTGAATCATGACAGCAATAACATGGAAGAACAAATCATGAGTTACAGAGCAGTTATGAATATTCAGCATGGTTCATGTTAAATTTTCTTGTCTTCTGAAAACAATATGTTATTGCAAAACTGAGTCTGCAGACACCCTAAAATAGAGACATAGGCAATCTTTTTAACTCTTTTTTTCAAATCAGCAGACAAAAGGCTCATGCTGTAAGTATGATCTTCACTAGGCATCTCTGCTTCCATCCCTACATGTTTTCTTTTCCCAGTCTCCTAGTGAAGGCAAAGGAGAGCCAAGTTCCTGTAGTCTGTCAGTGTAAGGATGTGTGACCAAAGAGGTATGTAGGAGTCCCCTTGGACTTCATTCATGTATAGCTAAAACCTACACTTGTTAGTATGGCTTCACTGTTATCACATAACATCATCCAAACAACTGAGTCTGTGCAGATACACGCACTGCTGGATTTCCTGTCAGTACGAGATTGGTCTGGCAGAGGCACACAGACAAGATCACAGCACAGCACATTTCTGCTAATGGGCTAGAGTGTTCAAATAACATCAGTGGCAGACCAGGTGGCATTCCAGGGTGCACTGCAGCCATGCTCTATTTCTCTGCCATATTGCATTATAGAGCCTGGCAGAAATGCATGTTGAATGGCTGTGGGAAGTCAATAATGTTAACAGGATGACTTACACAAACCCAAGCAGGATGAGTCAAATCAACGGCAGCATTGTGAATAAACAACCACGTAGTTTACAGCAGACTAGAACCCTGCATTATGCTTCCACAATTCACAGTACAACTCCATCAGAGGTTTTTCTATATTCAGCTATATCATGGCTTCTTCAGTACTGCACTGAGTTATCTAAAATAGATATGTGCCTTTATCTAATGCAACAGTTTCTCAAATACTGGTATGCTTTATGTAATGGTATACAATGCTACAAGGATAAATGCAAAAAGACTTTAAAACTCAGATGCTACAGCTGGAGGCACCTAAATGTCCTTTTGGCATCTCTCATTTGTGCACAGTAGGTAAAGTGTCAGATTAAATGGCAGACTAAGTTGATAGAACTCCCTCTGGTTTCACTGATGATTTTTGCTGAAGTGGGGTTCGGTTAAGTTTGAAGGTACAGATGGTGTTTATATTAAGACTATTTCTATTTTTCTTGGTATTGCAGGATTTTATTTAGTCATATAATATTATGAAAGGTGATAAGGCATGCTTATTGCAGGATATAACTCTGTGTAAGGAACGACTTCAAAATGGCTTTCATGGTTTTCTATGTAGAGACAGTGACAAATACAGTGAGCAGCCTCTGTATAAAGAATGCATTTCCTCAGCTCACCTGCCGTTGGTCAGCTATGAAGGCTGTAGTCTTGTTGAATTTTCCATGATTCCATTAGAGCTGAGTGGTGCAAGGAAGGAATATGGTTAAATGGACTCCTCAGTTTGTTACTATCATCAGGAGATAGAAGACAGGAGCCCTGGACTCCATTCATACAGCAGTCTAAGGGAATTAGTGCAGAGGCAAGACACTCCTAAACCTAAAGTTTTAAGATGCCAGTGTTTCTTAGCATCTCAGTAGATGATGATTCTTCTCTCTCTTTTCTGTTTTTTTTTTTTTTTCCCCCTCCTCCTCCAATATCTTAAATCTCAATGGTTTTTTTGCAGAATACACTATTTTAAGATTTGGAATATTCTAAAGTCTCCATATGCTGTAAGTTAGCAATTCTGTGTCAGAAAATAGCCCTATTTAAACACAACAGGATATTACTGTCCCAACATGAATAAATGCAAGCAGTTAAAGATGTGTATACTTTTTGTCACAGTTTATCCTAGGCATGTTGTATCTCTATATAACATGATCATCAACCTCAAGCATAGGAAGGTTGGAATGACTGTACATACAAGTAAAGGCTTTAGTAACTATAAAGTCAGGTTATACAGTGCTGAGCAAACCTTTTTGTCTCTCCCCTCCCCTCCATGTCATATGCCTATACCAGTAAGTGACTTACCAAAATTGGTTGTTTATATTAATCCTGAAACACCTCACCTGTGCTTTATAGGTCATAGTGGAGAAGGTCTCAGGATCTCAGATTGTTGATATTGACAAGAGGAAGTATTTAGTTCCATCTGACATCACTGTGGCCCAGTTCATGTGGATCATCAGGAAGAGGATTCAACTGCCATCTGAGAAAGCAATATTCCTCTTCGTAGACAAGACTGTCCCTCAATCCAGGTGAGAGGCTGTTCACTTGGTATTCAGAACCATTTCAGCGAGCCTGTGCATATCTGAGTGACAGTGAACACCCTACCCACCGCACCTTAGGCTTCCCTGGTGATTTAAGGTGTTTGGTTACATTTTAATCTCACTCGTGTAGTTTTTCTCAAGAGCTTGATACACGTTTTAGTTCTCAAGATAAGCTGAAATCTGATTACAAAAGATGATTATGACTTACTTGCACGGCAAGAAGGTAAGCTCTGGAATTAGATTTCTTAAGTTGAGTAATCGTACATCATTTACATCATCAATGCTAACAAATAAACATTCTCCAAGTAATTAAAATTGCACAGTTAAATGCTCAAAAGCAAACACGATAAATTATTCTGAGGTGACCTCACCTCTGTCACCTCACAAAGAAATTGTATTGTAGACTTATTTAAGTTTATTTTTTTCCTATAATACCAAATGCAAAATAAGCACAGAAAGAAGTTTATGTTGCTTTTATATAGGAATAACTTTCCCTAATTGCTTGCTACATGCAGGAAAATGTACAGCAGAAGCAGCTACTAAAATAGCTTGCTATTCAGCTTTCATAGTATTTGAAAAAGAGTGCATACTAATGTTACACAGCTTAGATACAGTAATAACCTTATTAATCCTTCTGCATGCAACAGCATCAGACCCTTCAAGTAACTGGACCCTTCTAGATGTGTTTTCATTTGATTTGTGACGCACAATAGGGACTTTGAGGATGGTCTTTTTTTTTTTTTTTTGTCTGCTGTGTTTGCATTAAGAATATTAGAAATGCCCAAGTGTGGTCTTTCCAGTAGCACCGTAGAACTGCTAGTAGCAAGCAGGAAAAAAAAACAGGCATATTCTCTCATCTGCCCTGTTAATTTCTTACATATTAGAGAAATGCAACCTCGAATCTTCTATATTACTGTGAAAATAGAAAAGCTAGAGTATACAGTTAATAGAAAAGCAAGAATATAACTGAGGTCAATGGTTCTGTTCCTGTTGTAGTCAGAGTATATTGCATACTCTGTCAGAGTATATTGCATGACTAACTCATGCCGTCCTTCTCTTCATCCAGAGATTCTGCCTACTACTCACCACTTCCTTTCTATTTCATGTTCTACCTCCAACTCTTCTCAGCTCCTTGGAGAAAAAGCTATGCTTATCTTCCTGATCACTCACTTTGAGTCTGTATCTTTCAGTTCACCATTTTTTTCCTTAAACACTTTTAGAAAGTCAGGAAAAAAAAAAGAGCTGAGGATGATTCCTTATTTCTGCCATTGATTCATGTGAGCTGCCTACTTCATCTGTAGGTAGATGGTTAAAGCCTTTGTATTTACCAAGTAATTGCTTGGCCTATCGAGTGCTCCCCTGCCAGAATCAGACATCCCCTTAAAGACTACAGCTACATAATTATGAATGGCCATCTATTCTGTTTGAAAATGTTTGTCTTTGAAAAAAAAACATTGAAAACCCTATCCACCGAAGCCAGAATTTTTTTTTTCTCTATCTTGCAATTTTTTGGTCACAGGTTTTGCTGCTAGCACTGTTAACTCACTACTTTTTAATAAGAGATAAAACAAAGCTTTTACTCCCCAAACAACTTGGACTTTGAAGAGTCACTCTAAAAAGGATGAAGGTTTGACAAACTTTAGACCAAATGTCTAGAACAGACAAAAGAATTCAGAGAAAGTGCTATCAGACCCCTGATAGCACTTGTTACTAGTTATGGCATCAGCAATATTTCATTCAGCACCTCAAATATATTAATTAGCTCATTTCCAATAAAATGAGAAATCATTTGTGTAGAAGTACAAATATAACAATAAAAATCTAGGCACTCTGCAGAAGTTCCAGAAACATTTTGTGAAGTCAGGAGTCAGAAGCTTTTCCTATATTCTTACATATTTCAAGTTACAGAGCAATTTGTAAGTTTTAAATCTTACCTAGCTTGTCTAGGTCAGATTCTAACTTTTACCATTTGCAGCAGTCATGATTTAAACAAGCTGTTTCTCAATTTTTTTCTTTTCTTCAAGCTTAACTATGGGACAACTTTACGAGAAGGAGAAAGATGAGGATGGATTCTTGTATGTTGCCTACAGTGGAGAGAACACATTTGGTTTTTGAATCCTGGATCTTGGCTACTACACCATCCTGCTGTGTATCTTGTAAATAGCTAATAATTTTCTGTTTTGGCATCCACAGATGTTCCTTCTATATACATGCATTGGTAACTGGATTTATTTCCTAATATACCAATAGATCTTGTTTTACTAGACTGGTAAGTTATCAAAAGTTGTTTTTTTTTTTTTGGTGCATTTTTTTCTCATAGCTGTGAATCCCCAGAGTCTCACTCCTTTGGGGGATAAATTTAATAACATTAAATAATAAAGCAAAGTGGTTGGGCTACTAAAATATGAAAAGGAGGAATATGCAATTATGCTGATTTTTGAAGTGTTAGTTTAGCAAAAATAAAAATATTACATCAGTAATGGGAACGCTGCCTTTGCTAGATTATTCTGAATAGTAGAAAGATGCTGATCATGTTGACCTGAGCTAATATTTTCCTCTTTCTTGGTTAACAAATAAGTACATTAAAAAATCCTCCCACAAACAGGCAATGCTGTCCTTTCTTTACCTTCATTTTGTTCAGAAAGTTGTACATCTTGCTTACTAGACATTATGCAGATTTTCAAGTTTACCATGCTGATGCCTATACAAAAAGGAAACAAGGACATGTGTCTATATGCTGACAACTGCAGACCTACTCAATCCTATCAAAAGAATAGTCCTTGGGTTTTTCAATGGAGGAGTAGCACCATGGCCTTTGGAAAGCAACACTGAGATGACAAGAGAAATAGTGTAAAAAAGGGTACCTAGGCAAGAGAAGAGTAATAGGGGACCAGAAAGCTCGCAAAGTGGATAAAATTATCTGTAGATGAGTTATGAAGGAAAGAAATAATTGATAAGGAGGTCAAATTAAGAGAATTGCATGAGCAGCTCTTAAAAAAATACATTATTTGTGTTACAGGTGGTTATAAAAATATACCTGTCTCTTCCAAGTAAAAACTCTAAGCAATAAAAAAGCATTACATAACCAAATAATGGATTTACTGAAACAGCTGAGAAAACTTGAATGATAAGTGATAAATGTCAGCTAAAAAGATAAAAGCAAGCTTTTGTCTTTGAAAGAAAGGTCATTCCCTCTACTTTATAAGCATTATTGCCAAAGCATGTGCATAACACAGCAAAAGTAAGGAAGCTTTGCAAAAGCCCAGAAGCATAGTTATTCATGAGGCTCTCAACTTGTGTCCAAAATGACTTGCTATACTATATAGCTACTGTTGCTCTAGAGGCAGTGAGGGAAATTTGTGGCTCCAAGCTACGAACTGTGAGAATGGAAATGGCAAAAAACAATTACAAAGTACAGGAGTTCATGCTCTTATGGGAAGGACAAGACAGGGTTGGGAAAGTTACATGTCTTTGAGCATGATAAACCAGCAAGGAATCACTGTTAATACTTAGATTCACACTAACTGTAACTCCCAGGAAGCCATCTTATTACAGAGTCCCAGAATGGTTGAGGTTGGAAGGCACCTCTGGAGATCATCCAGTCCAATCCCCTGCTCCAGCAGGGACACCCGGAGCATGGGGCACAGGGTGGCATCCAGGTGGGTTTGTCAGAGGAGCCTCCACAGCCTCTCTGGGCAGCCTGTGCCAGGGCTCTGGCACCCTCACAGCCAAGAAGTTCTTCATACAGAGATGGAACTCCGGTGTTTGAGTTTGTGCCTAAAATTATATTACAGGTCTTACTCACAGGCACTTTCAAAGGAGTCCAGAATACTTCTTTTACTGAGAAGACAGTGTTGGTACTACTTTATTACTGAAGCTATTTGCAATACATGCAAGTGCTTACCGCATCTAAGAATTTCAGCAAGCTTTTCAGGATTCTGAGGAGCACTGCAGTGTACAGCAGTACTCGAGTAAGCAGTCTGTCACCATTTCCATGTTGGATTGCTTCCATCCTGCTTTCCATGGATTTAGTATTAATGGTTACTCTGAAAATAGTTTCAGATTCGGAGGAAAGAAAAGGGTTTCAGATGTGATTATTAGTATCTTTCATTACTGAAAAATGTTGTTTCCTTTAACTGAAGCTTTGCAGTTACAGTGCTCATTATTATCAAGATACTTAAAAAAAAAAGAAAAAGAAAAAGAAAAAGAAAAAAGTAACATTACCCTTTATAACTATAACTATATACTAGCACAGAGATACATCTGACCAAAAGGGCACAATGAAATTTTATTTCCAATGGTTTGTCTGAAAAGACTTTTGGAATTCTTGTCATCCGCCTCTGGAAAAAAAAAACAGTAATTACTGCTAAACTTAGATTTAGCAGCCTAGGTTTACAAGTAATTCCAGAGAATTCCAGAGATACAAAGATTCTATAGCAGTAACTTTATTTTGCATCTACAAATACAAACAAAACAGAAAAGAGATTTTCATTTCAACTATTCCCCTTTTGAACAGCCTTATAAAATGATTAAAATCAACTTGTCTAGTTCATCTGGTGTCCATACGATCACATCTTTACTTCCTGTTAACTCTTCCAGACAAAATACAAAACCATTCCAACATTGTTTCTGTGTCCCCTATTTTGAAGCTGGCCTGAAATACAATCTGCATAAATAAGCAAATAGTCAAAAAATGTATTGCTTCAGTCTGTAGCACTGCTGCAGCAATGTAGGCACCTCTTTCATAACAACAGTGTCAGGTATTTAGGATGGTTATGCTTTGAAGGAAAGACCTATTAGGCACTTCAACTGCATTTGTTCCAGGTGTTAACTGTAACACCTTTCTTTCCTCCTTGCTGATCGCAACCTCCCAGTTGTGACTGGGAGTCTTTTCATTTTCATGCTTGCACCTCAAGCATTTCCCTCCAGGTGTGGTTTCAACTCGGCCTGTTTTCTGTCACTGCAAAAGGGAAGCCTGACTCCTCCCCTTTCTGTTTTCTGCAATTCAGTCTTGGCTTTTTCATTGCTCTAGGGCTCACCAGGCTGATTACCGTTTTAACTCCTTGTGAAAAGCTACCTTGCTTTGGAGTAATAGTTTGGTTTTCTGTGAGGAACTGTAATTTGAATTGTCTTCAAATTACTTTGAATATCTTGAGAGCAATACATACTCCAGCCAACATGAGGTAAGTCATAGAAACATGATGCTAGGATCAGAACCTTTCTTTTTCAGAGGTAATGGGGTACTAGTACGTTGGCTCATGAGACTGTCCTCTCAAACTCAAGCCGTCGATCATGAACCCAGACAAAACTGGTTGTTCCCATGCTCTAGTTCTGACTTCCTTAAAGACAAGGAGCCTGTCTGCCCGCCCTACTTCTTAGTATGATTGAGAATGAAATGTTTTCTCTAACAGTGAAGCTGTTAGAGGCATCCCATTCAAATCAAGAATTACAGTTTTCTTTGCTCTGGCAAATAGGAACCATTGGTGCCCATACCAGTTTGGGAAAAATCAAACTACTAGCTGAGGAATACAAATACACTCTATGGAGCAATTTAAACCAACCCAGGGAATTTGTGTCCTCATCTGTTCTGCTGTTTCCAGTGACAACTATTTGGTTGTCCCCATGAATGTCCATCTGTGGACACTTCAATCCCCAACCTGCTCGTCTGTGGCAGGGTCTCTGCCACATCTTATCCCTCTCTGCTTTTCTGTGCATCAACTATTTCATCGTTGAATAGCTCAAGTCACACGTGTGTAGAACACGTCAAGTGCTACCTTCCAGAAGCAATTCTTCCAAAGATATACAGACAACGGCAGATGATTTGTTTCCTACTTCAAAAGCAGAGTTTACCTCTACATTTTTCTGTTCTTATTTTCAGAGCTGTTTCTCAGACCTGGCTGCGGTACTTCCCAACATTTTGGAATTAATCAGATACAACATTTGCACATTGCTATTTTCAGTCTCAGAAATGCATCAGGCAAGATCCTGCAAACTTAACAAATTAAGTCTTTTAAATGCTGCTTTAACTCCTTCCCCCTCTCTGTGTATTCAGTGACAGACAGTAGGCTGAAACATGCCTTCATCGCCAGGTAAGGAGCAAACTTAGTACTAGCATTCACGATCTCTAAAGCCGCTTTTAGATTTGACGAGCGGCAGAAATCAGCAGTCTACAGTTGATGAGTGTTTTACAAATGCACAGGAAAGTTACCAGCAACAATTCTCCTTAATAGCCACATTCAAAAGTTATGGCTACAAGACTGCCCTTGGAGTGTTATTTTGTCAGTTCTGCTAATTGCTACCATTGTTGGTTGCTTTTCTGCAGTTCACCTAGTAATCCATTTGCAATGACATCTGGTTTGACTTCTGATCTCTCCTACCATCTGTCCAGACCCATATGCAGCTTAGTAGATGCACTGTAAAGGTTATGAGAACTTCAAAACAGTAGTGAAATAGCAAAGATCAGAAAACTCAGAATCACTAAAGAAATTTTAAATTCCAAGTTACCACTTATTTTATCTTCCCATTGCTTTGCCCACGTACTCACTAGCAACTACGTGGTCCTGAAATTACTCTTGGAAGGCAATAATTGGGACAGGAAGTGCAAGGAGGATCACACACTGTTTACCCCGCAGCTAGAAGCTTTGGACTCTTTTGCCAAGCAGATGTTATTTTGCAATAAATCATAAAGGCAAAGACTGCCATGGACCATTTCCTGTCCCTCCAAAGCATCTCCAATTTTGCCAGGCTACTAATGAACACTTGCCAGGAAACAGTGAGGTAAACGGCTAAGACACCCCTGCTTTTCGCTAACCACTTATCACTGGGAGGGGGGGAAAAAAAAAAAAAAAGGTACTTGAAACACTGAAAAGTAGGTAAATATTTGCCCACGATTTTATACAACTGACAAGTGTCTGCAGGCTTCTTTCCCATCTACAGAAGCACAGCATTAAAGCAGTATCTGGTAAAGTCCTGAAAAGGAGATGCAGCGCACGCTGCAAGATCTGTTGTTTGACATGGTCATCTTCCCATCACTTTGGCTACTTGTAGAAATAGACTTTTACATGAAAAAGAAAAAATATCTTTCACCAGAGCTAATACTTCCAGTTAGATGCAATGGGGGAACAATTATTTCTCCAGGCACCAAGCAAGAGAGCCAGGAGAAACAGAAGTAAAACTTACTATAGATTAGGGTTGTTCCAGCACCACAAAACCAGCCACGAAAGTATGAAAAGAAATAAACAGCACTAGAGTTTACAATAACAGCCTTTCTTCCACAGCAACTTCAGTTACTTTTATTACCATTACAGTGGACTATAGAAGATAGATCATATTCTCAGGTAAGACAGGATGGCACACCACTGCTTTCTTTCCATTGGTGAAATATTGCTTTATGTAGGTCAGAATTCTAAGTCTATAATGATGAAAAGGGGGCTTCAAAAAAGCAAAATAAGGACTTTTCAACAGACTTCCTTTTCACTTCTATCTCCCTGAGGCACAGAAACTAGAGCACATATTTTCCTGCCTCTTGAAATGCAGAGGTATCTGCTGTGTACCAGAGCTTATTGCTAAATTTATACAGCCTCATATATTTTCATGTGAAGTGCAGGTATTCCTTGGCATTCTTGACCCAACCCTGCAGGGCTTGGCTACGCAGCACTTCCCAGGCTTCTTGATAATTTAATGAAGCTTCTTTGTAGTCACAATAGGTTTCTAGAGTCTTCATCCTGACACAAAATACACAAGAATGAACAATTTGCTATTAACCTACTGGATGCAAGTATCACAAAATATAAAAAGCCAAGCATTTAATAATGCTGATGCATGCATTATGTTCCATGAATTTTCCTGCGCTGCACTTCTATGGACATTGGAGAGGTCTAAACTCCGAAAGAGCTACTGGTTTTCAATACTGTCAGCAGTCACTATAGCAGCTTCTCAGCAACAGAAGGGACAAAAGTGACAAGAGAAGTGTCTGTATTTGTGACAATAGGTTACAGAAAACTTCTATGGTAGCAAAATATGTAGAAGCAAAGCGAAAAAGGTAGCTAGAGAGGGAAGCTTTGAATTGGGTGGATGTGACTATGTTTTACTAGAATGGATATGACTGTTGGACATAGGCCAGCAAGAAAAAAGACATTTTTTCTTTTCCAGCACAAAATAAATGGGAAGTGCGACAGAAAGAGACAGGAAGCAAGGGGAAATATTTTCATCTTCTCCCTAGAGAAGGAGACAGCAGTTTCCATGCTCTCCTTTCCTCCTTCATGCAGCAGCTGCTCTCCACAATCTCAGCAGAATCACTGGCCAATATGCAGAGAGCATTATATCACTGTTCTTCAAAACAGGAAACAAGATTATCACCGAAACACAAGACAGCACAAGGAAGACCAAAATAATTTAATCAAGAATTGGTTTCTTTCCTCGCTGTCCTCTTCCCATCCTCTTCACAGGATTACAGAATGGTTGAGTTGGAAGAGACCTCTAGACATCACCTAGTCCAAGCCCCCTGCTCCAGCAGGGGCACCCAGAGCACGGGGCACCCGGTCGCATCCAGGCGGGTTTGCAGATCTCCAGAGAAGGAGACTCCACAGCCTCTCTGGGCAGCCTGTGCCAGGGCTCTGTAATCCTCACAGAAAAGAAGTTTCTCTTCATATCTCATAAGAGATGAGACCTCCTGTGTTTCAGTTTATACCCATTACCCCTTGTCCGGTCACTGGCCACCACCAAGAGTTTTGCCCCATTCTCCTTACCTTCTCCCCTCACATATTTATACATACTCATCAGATCCCATCTCAATCTTCTCTTCTCCAGGCTAAACAGGCCCAGCTCGTTTAGTCTTTCCTCATACGATAGATGCTCCAGTCCCTTAATCACCTTTGTGGCCCTATGCTGGAACCTCTCTAGAAGCTCCATGTTCCTCTTGTCTTGGAGAGGCCAGAACTGCACCCAATACTCCAGGTGCCTCCCAAGAGCTGAGCAGAGGGGCAGGATCCCCTTCCTCAACCTGCTGGCAACGCTCCTCCATGATCCCACCGGCCTTCTTGGCCACAAGGGCCCATTGCTGCCTCATGGGGAACTTCTTGTCAACCAGGACTCCCAATGACTCTCCACGGAGCTGCTTTCCAGCAGGTCAAGCCCTAATCTGTGCTGGTGCCTGGGGTTATTCCTACCCAGGTGCAGGGCCCGGCACTTGCCCTTGTTGAACCTCATGAGGTTCCCCTGTGCCCAGCTCTCCATCCTGTCTAGGTCTCCCTGAATGGCAGCGCAGCCCTCGGAAGCGTCGGCCACTCCTCCCAATTTGGTATCGTCCACAAACTTGCTCAGGGTGCCCTCTGTGCCCTCATCCAAGTCACCGATGAACAAGCTGAACAGCACCGGCTCCAGCACTGACCCCTGGGGACGCCACTGGCCACAGGCCTTCAACTAGACTTGGCCCCATTTATCAGCACCCTCTGGGCTCTGCCATCCAGCCAGTCCTCAATCCACCTCACTGTCCACTCGCCCAGCCCACACTTCCTGAGCTTCCCCATGAGGGTGTTAAGGAAGATGGTGTCAAAAGCCTTGCTGGAGACAAGGTAAACTCTTTCTTCTCTTTCTTCCAGTCAGTCTCTGTCAGCCACATGAAACATGTAACATACATTAGAACCAATAGGAATAAATGAACATGAGTCAAAACAAAAGAGAAAAACTATTTCAGGGGCTCTAATCTAAAAGGTCTGAGAACCACTGCACAAAGTTCCAGAGCAGACTTTCATGTTTTTGTTTTAACAAATGAACACAGGCAAATCCTTAAGAAAAATCAAGAGAAGGTCCTCTGTTTTAGTCTAGATATTTAAACCCCTAAGTCATTTAAAACCCTTGTACTCTTAATTGCTTATCTCTAGCCATCAGAGCCACACACACCTCTGTACAACAGCCCATCACCTTCCATTTCCTGTCACTGGAACTGGAATGACCAATAATTCAGACTGAATGGGAAGGAGGAAGAAAACACAACCTTATTTGTGATGGCTCCTGACTATGATTTAAGAAAGGAGAGGATCAGCCATCCCTGTAACAAGCCTGGCAAGAAACTCAGTCTGGGTTTATGTGACCAAGTCTCATTTATACTCAGAGACACAGGCAATCAGCCAAACCTTACATGTAAGGCAGATAGCTGACTCTAACAAGTGGATGCCACTCTACAATGCCAAAAAAAAAAAAAAGAAGCTTTTATTTCTTTTTGTAATGGACAAGGCATGACTAACAGCAGATAAAATAACCAAC